TTACAGGGCTCTGAGGGTGAGAGGTAAGGGCATGGGGGCCCAGGTGACGATGGTCTCAAACCTGCTGCCCAAAGGATGTGCAAAAGTTGGCTGTACAAAAGTTGGCATACACTGTGCATCAGCAAATAGCTTTGTAGCTAGTGTCGCAAGCAGGGCTTTGGCTTCTGTGGCCATGGGACCCTCTTTGAGATACAAACACTGCTGGGGAGAGGCGAGATCCATCAGACAAGGTGGGGAAAGAGCAACAAGCTCAGAAACCTTGTGAGAAGAGATGCAAGCAAGGACCATTGGCAGATGGACATCCCAGCCTCCAGATAAGCAGGGGGAAGGGAATGGAGAGCATATACATGGGGCAGTGCAATGAGGGAGGCTCATATACTTCCACTGAGAAAGCAGGACAATGGAAAGCCCATCTCAAATGCATGTACATAAATGAACTCAGTGCTGGAATAACACAGGCGGAATTGAAGTTCATGTAGTCACTGGATGATAGATGATGACTCTGCAGCTGCAGATATGGTGAGAACACTTGCTTAATTGGAATGAGTTGCTGGATGGCTACAGACTCATTAAGAACAGGCAGTTAACATGGGGTGGGATGGCTGCAGTCTGCACAAAGAAATATCTTGAATCGACACAGATCTTCTAAGTAACAGGAGCTTATAGGTTAAGATCAACAAGGTGGGTAAAAAAGGGTGTTGTCATGGTGGGCATCTGCTACAGGCCACCTAATCAAGAAGAGGAAGTGGACTGGAAAAATAGTTATGATTTCTGGTTCTCACGAGGGACTCAGCCACCCCAATATCTTCTAGAAGGGCAACACTGCAGAGAGCAAGCAATCCAGGAGGTAGGTAGCTGGACTGCAGGAAGGATAACTTTTTGAAACAGGTGTGAAACAGACCAACTAATGGAAGTGCTTTGCTGGACCTGCTACTCAGAAATAAGGAAAAACTGGTCAGGAATATGATAGATGGTGTTAGCTGTGGTTATAGTGGCCATGAAATGGCACAGTTTAGTATGCTAGGAGGAGTGTGGAAGGTTAGTAGGAGATAGAAGACCCAGAACTTCAGGAGAACAGCCTTCAACCTGTTTAAGGAGATGGTAGGCAGAATCCCCTTGAAGGGCAAAGGGTCCCCTGAAGGGCAAAGAATGCCTTGAAGGACAAAGGGGCCCAGAAGAACTGTTCGTTCCTCACAAGCAACTTTCTTAACGCACAAGAATGGCCCCTGTCAGTGTGCAAGAATTCAAGCAGGTCTGGCAGAAATGAAAGTTAACCTCATGCAGAGCTGCATCAGCAAGAAGACAGTCAGCAGGTTGGAAGATAATATTATTTCCTTTTACGCAGGATTTGTGCCATCATATATAGAATACTGTGTCCAGTTTGAGGCCCCCTGGTGAAAGAGAGATATGGATCAGCTGAGGTGATGACCACCAAGATGGTTAGGGGAATGGAGGACAAGAGGCTGAGCAATCTGGAGAGTTTTAGTCTGGAGAAGAAAAGTCTTCATCTTTCTAAATGGAGTTACAGAGAAGATAGGGATAAACTCTTCAGAGACATGCACACTGGAAGAATGAGACATAGTGGTCACAAGCTGCAGCAAGGACAATTTCAGGTGGATATAATTTTTTTTTTTTTTTTTTTTCACAATAAAGTTGGTCAAACTGGAACAAGTGCCCAAATATGCTGTGGAATATCAATTACTGGAGATTTAAAAACTTGACTGGATGAGGCTTTGAGCTGCCTGATCTAACTTTGAAACCAGCCCTGCCTTGCAAGGGGGGGGTCAGTCTTGATTGCCACAAGAGGTCCTTTCCAACTTAAAACTTATTCTATGTTGCTCAGGATCTCTGTTTAGGCTCTGTCCCTATGTTCCTCCAGATGGCAAGTCTATCTGTCTAAGCATAGATAAGGTGAATTGTCCCTCTGAAAGTGTGTTTATTACTATTGACACTAGAAGTTTAAGCAGCTAGTTCATACAAAACACCTAGCTTTTGGGTGGCTATATAGTTGGCATTAATCCCATTCCAAATAATTTCTTCAGCTGCTTTCTGAACCTTAAGATGGCACAGCAGACCATTCTATAAATTGTTTTCTTCAGCTGAGGCAGAGCTTTTATCTGCCATGTAATTTGTCAGTTAAGGTTGCAAAAGAACACAGATTCTTCAGTCCAATAACAGGTATTAAAATGGCTTCATCTAATATTTTTCTCTAAAGATATATTAAAGTAGGAAAATGAGTGATCTTCCTATCTTCTTCCAAACTTCCACAGAACAACCACCTTGTCTATCTTCTTTCTCAGAAGCTTACTATTCTCTCCAGCTGCTTGAACTTTGTGGTAAGACAGCATCCAGGCCCTTTCAAAAAAATGTATATAATTCCTTTTTTTCTTTAAATCAGTATGCTGGTTTCTGTCTTACAAGAACACTAACTTCACGTATGATCTAAGTCACATTACATCTTTTCACTTTTCCATTAGGTCTGTGTTTAAATAGATGCACACCCTGGCTGCATCCTGATCACATGGTAGTAGGAGTGGTAAACATGCACCACTCCTCATCACTCTCCCCTTCCATGCCCTGTTTTCCTTTGGGAGGCAGGCAATGAACAGGCTCTCTAGTCCTGAAGGAGGTGGCTTGAGGAAGGGGTCAGGGCAGCTGGGAACACAGCAGAGCACACCACCCTGCCTTCTAAAGGCAGCCTAAAACCTCTGCTGCATCAGATTCTACCTTATCGTGATCTGCCCCTAAGTTATCCCAGATTTAAGATATTAACTATTGTGAGGAATTCCTATTGGGAGAGAAAGAGAGAGGAATTTCATGCTGTCATACCTTTGGGTCTGAGAATCCCTCCTACTCTCCATTTAACATGATTGGTCATTGATCAGTAACACCACAGGACATAGTTTTAACTACTGACAATTGAAAGTATTTATGAACTGTCCTTATGACAGTATGGTCACTCCCACCAGCATGATTTTAATTCATGATATAATTAAACCCTCACCTTGGCTATGGGAGTACTTGTGAGAAGAGCTGAGAGCAACAAACTTTTTTTTAATGTTTTTGTGGGTGATCTGAAGTGTTGGATAGGATAATGATATTTACAGTAAGTACCTTCCTCAAGCAGCCCTGCCTTACTGGTGGGACTGGGAGTAGATGCAGAAGAGCTTGGTCAGGAACCGTGTCCACCTACCCAAGCTAAAATGTCTTGTGCAAACTGAATGGCTCTAGGGTTCGATACTCTGCCGCCACCACCACCACCTTTTGGCAAATCATAGCAGGATTTTGCTAAATATCTTTGCTTTTTAACAACAACAATGGTAACAGTAAAAATAACACAGCTCTTCTCTGAAGCCCTGATTGAGATCAGTCCTGAAGTTGAAAGGTACTACATATACAGAGAGTAAAAAGTCAGGATTTCCCTTAAAGAACATCTGCTCTACAGGGACAAAGGGTGAGAGGGGCAAAGAGACAGGCCCAGCGTCACACACTGGGATAATAAAGTTCACTTAACTTCACATACCTAAAAAAATAGTCTCTCTATATTCCCCCAGTAAAGAGAGGTGTAAGGTTCCTCCATAGCACATTCATCTGATCCAATTAGGCCCCTCTTTCAGGATGAAATGAATCCCCAGCTGGGGGAACTTCTTACATAGCTAGTTTGGACTGCCAAAGAATGTTATTGCCTCCTGCGGGCCTCCGAGGGAACCCCAGGGAGACTAGTGCAGACTTGGGGATCTAACTTTCTCCTGCCTAAATGAGGGCAGATGAACTGACATGGAGAACTGAGAGTGGAGAACACACACCTCACTTTGCACCTCTGCCCATCAGTGCCTGGTGTCTTTCAAGTGCCCTTTTCCTCTCTAACAGCCGCTGCTACTTTCTAGCAACAGCTGAGGTTTTTTACAGATTACAAAAGCCCAAAAGGAGCAGGACTCACATGGGCTCTTACCCTGCAAATTAGTGACAGAAAGCATTGAAATATCTTAGGATTTCTATCAGACTGAATATTTTTGTACGTCTTTTAAAACTGCAGAGGAGTAATTCTCAAGGGATGAAATGCAAGTACGCAGGAGTTTTTTCAGCAAAAATATTGCAAAATACTTCCCCCAGTTCACTGAGGGTCCTTTAAAAGGGAGTAATTACCACTAGCTGTGTATGAAGAGCTGCGAGGTGAGGTGGGTAAGCAAGGTCAGCAGGTCAGTAGCAGAAGAAGAAAGAGAGCCCAGGCCGCCTGGTCCCGACGCGAGTGGCTCTACCCTGTACCACTGCTCTCACAGGGCTGCCTCTCCCCAGGCTTCACACAAAGGAGAACAGTGATTGAGCACAGACCATCATTTACACAACTGTATCTTACACACCAGTCTGACATCTTCCCAGACTTTTCAAGGTTAACAGAATAGCATCCCAGAGAGCTGCCCATATCAGCTGGGGACGGTGCATCCCTCACAGTACTTGTGGGTTAGGAAGAGGAAGAGAATTCAGTTATTTGTTATCTTTCATTCACAGAGGTTTAGAGCTCCCACTTACTCATATGTGACAACTATTTTGTGTACTCCAGTCGCATCCAAAACATTTCTCCTATATTGGTCATGTGAATGTGCTCTGTCTTCCAACTTCTTTAGAGCCCACTGTAATCATCTTTTGTGTCACTGATAAAAAACGCCCTCTCCTTAGCTAAAGCCCCTGAGAATCCTATAAGGCAGCATCCCTAAATATACATTCTTTTCCTGCTAAAATAGTAGATTGAAGTTGCAGTGTAATTCCATGATTTGTCCTGGATTTTTTTTTTATCTTAATCCAAAAGTATTTGTTACAATAGCTTCATGACTAAATAACTGTGGAAGGAATTGTCTCCAAGGGAGGCACTCCACAAGCCAAAGGATAGAAGCTTATGTTTTTTCTTTTAAACATGATTAATATAATTTTTGGTCAAGGAAAATGGAAGAAATACCTCATCCTTTCTATTCTTTAATTGACTGAGCAAACAGTATACCCACCAGCAATGATGAAAAAGCCTCCTCCTGCTTTGTACAGAATGTGGCTGGCAAAAGGAGCTGCACAGATGATGAAGAAACTAGCCATTACAATAGTGAGCACTCCCAGGAGCATAAGAACTGTCCAGAAACCTCGATAAACTGGAGAAAAGGAAGAAGGAAAAAAAAAGAACACAACACATTTTAGAACTTAATATATTTGGCTAACAAAGATTTTTCTTTTTGCCTTCTCTTTTCATTTGCCTTTATAACAAATGAAACATTTATTCTATTGTGCATATATGTTACATATCATGTGGACCAAATTAGGTTCAAATGCCACTCCTTATCTGATGATCATGGAAAATAGGTGGTAAGTTACCAAGAATGAAATCCGTCTGCTTAATATTTAGCAGTGACTTGTAAGACAGCAACTTGATCAAATTTATGCTCTTTACAAAATGGTACACAAAAGCTGTAGCAATGGTTCTTTGGGATAAATGATTGGACTGACAGGATACAATCGTTTTACCAAAATTGTCTGGGAGAAGCAGAGCTGCAACATCTTGACATTCTTAGTGCTCAGACCATATCACCAATAGCAATCTGTAAGTTCTCTAGAATTTACAACTGGATAATTCTCTTTACATGTAGTCATATTCAATAGATGGAAATCTAAAGCAGGAGGGGGGAGAAACTCAAAAAATGTAAATCGGGTTTCTGAAAAACAGTTAAGTATTTTAAACCAGCCTATTCCTGCTCTAAAGCTCTTTGTATTTTATTAAATTTAAAATGTGATGTTTCAGAAGTCCCTGTTAGAGAGTGCCAAGCAGTGCTGAAATAATGGATGCAGCTGGTGATAAATGAGCCAAGAGTTTTGTGACATACTCTGGCCAAAAGAGTCTTTCTAACAATTATTTTTTAGCTGGTTAATTGCACATCCATTTAACAAAGTCATCATTTTACAAATGATACAAGAGTGACATAAATTTCTTCCATGAATTTAAAAATTGGTACATTAACACAACCCATTAGTAAAATTATGAGTTGCAAAGATTTCCATCGTCAGATCTGAAAATCTTGAAGCACTGACAATTCAGTCAGTGAAAAACATTTCCACCCAACTGAGGGAAAGCATATAAGCCAGCTGGCAAGTCAGGAAAAGTGAGTCACAAAAGAAACTGCCACTTAGCATTTGACAGCACCTACTTACTGTTATGGCAAAACACAACGAAGCAACTATTATACTGGTTCGTATCCTGAAAGTTTCAAATTCATACAGCTTGTTAGAGCCAGCTATTCTGGAATAATTCTGGTTTGCTCTCATCTGAAATCTGAAGGTGCACTAGACACTATCAGCTTGCACTTCCCACTAATGTGTTCCAAAAATCCACAGTTTTTAACTTGACCAGCTTAACTCATGTTAAAGTATACACCATCTTGCTTCTATCAGCCCTGTAAATATATTATCTAGATCACATTCACCACATCACATTAGCCACACTTTTTAAATAACATCCTTTTTAATCCAGGCAAACATTCAGAGACATAATTTTCCGCCACACCGATCAGCAGATTTGGTCATAGGGAGGATGAATGGGTCTGAAAGTAGCTGGCAGAAGGGTTAAAATTGTGGTTTGGTTCATATCCAATACAAGCCTTCTTGCCACATAAACAAAAACAAAATGGAAACAGTAGGTAAGAAAGAAGGCTGTGGTTCAGCAAAGCAGTTAAGCCTGTGCTCTGCTTTAAGTACTCTACCTCTTATGGGATTTAGGCACCTGTTTAAAGTTAAACACATAGTTAAATGATTCACTTAATGCAAATGGGCAGTGAATGGAGACCTAGAAAGGTAAATCTCTCAAGTCCTTCAGTCTTGGGTCTCTGAAGCAATTTCATATAATTTTACTCATGGGGCTACTTTGCTAAGCTTCATCGCAGTCCCCAAGTCCATGGGACATTACTTCCTCATTTAAAACCTAATACCGCTAAATCAGTCTATAACCACCCAACTCTTTTACATGGATGGCCCAAGGTACTTCAAAGTCATGCTACATAATAGGACACATTGGCCAAAATGGACCTTGAAAAAGCTTTCTTCGATATCATTATGGTCAGTCACCTAAGTCATACAGCGGTGTTTCTATTTTCTGAATGGATGAGGGCACAAGCTTCTCCAGAATTACAAAATTAGTATATGGTTTAATTATCTGCTCTTTATACAGGAAGCTCTGAAGTCTGCTTTTAGTGAAATTTTACCAGAAAAGCTTGATTTGTTCAAATATTCCTGGAAAGTGAACACAAAAGGAGTACAAATGTAACTGATGAAAATTTGTTTAAACCTCTCTGTAACTATACAAGGGAAAAGCTGTTTCTCTGCTCCAACAGCATAAGTATTTTATGCACTATATGAAATACTGATTTGACCTAGCTATCACCTGAAATAAGCTTCCATTCTATTTCTCTAGAAATAATTATTTACTCTAGAGAATCACAGCTAAATTCTGATGATCCTAATGCTTGTTTAGCCAGCTAACTCCATCATCAAACATCAATTTGAAGATAGAGTTGACAGGTAAAAAGTCTGCAATGATCCCAAATCTGCTGCTTTTCAAGGAAAAGACTACCCCCTCTAATCTGCAAGGCAGTAAGTCATTAGGGTCATTTGTGGCACAGATCTGAGGAAACATCCTAAGAGCATTTAGACTTTTTCTTTAGTAAGGGAGTTAAAAAGCAACCATATTTCTGCAAAGAAGCTTTTACTTATTTCATATTCAGACCTTTTTTGCTCAGACCACATTTCCCATCTTCTCTGCCTTGATGGGCAAGATCAGTTCCTGCAGAGCTAATCATCAAGATTACAATGCAGCCCTACTGCTGTCATTTAGCTTTAACCGGCATCTAAAGATGAACACAAAAGAGCTGCTTGAAATTAAAACTACCTAAGAATGAATTTACTCTTCAAGTCCAAGACTTTGCTGCTCTGAGACTGAGGTGAACCATGACAGAAAAAATATAACAGAAGATGCTGCTTTGAATTGTGCTTCTTTCTGTCCCCTGAAAAGGGATGACACTGTGATCCAAGAAATAATGGTTCAGTGTACCTATACAAGGTGTTAAGAGAAGTTTGCACAATTTCAAGTCTTACTAAGGAAGTTCCTAAGATGGCCCGTGTTCTGGTCCAGATGACAAGAAGTACCCTTGCCTCTTCAAGGTACTTCACAGATATGTTTGAGTTAGCTACCTCAAGTGCATGCATTATTCCGAGTATTTCCTGCATTAGAAGATATAAAGTACAAGTGCTACCGTAGAGTCCGAGGTAAACCTATCTGCAGTGTTAATCTTAGATACCATTGCTCTGTGTTGCAAGAGCACTAAACAGAAGGTTTTGTAACTTGTCTTGGTAAGCTGCCCCTTCATCGGGTACAACATTTGCCTTGGCAGTGACAGGCAATCCTAAAAATAAAATAGTACATAGAGGAAAACAGGAGTACACATGGTATGCTTGTCTTTGAGCTCTGCACTGTTCAGACTGTATACTGTGAGAGTATTATAGGTGCAGTATATTCCTCCAAAATCGCATGACCTGTAATTTTACTTTGCTACTTGCTTTTCTCCCTAAAATCCACGTTTAGATTCCCCCGGAGATTTCTGCATCATTTGAAAATTACAAGTATCTGGTTTTGAGTAAGGGACCGAATTTTGGAGAAATGGCTGCAAATTATCAAAAGCTCCCTTTTGTAGTATAGTAGATCCCAGCATTGATTGAACTGAAGTCACAGATTCATATTTTAAGATGTTACACATGCATGATATGAAAGAGAAGCAATAATATATTTGACAAAGTTACACAGCTGTGTCACCTGCAATGCACGCTTGTTGCATAGTAGCCGTGCACACCTCAGAAGCTCCGTAAAGGGTTATTCAGGAATGGGTTAGCTAGTGACACAATGCAACACCCATCTACTACCGCAGGTGTTAACACCAACCTCATGAAACCATTACACCTATTTTACTGCCCTTGCTGACTTCAAGTGTTTTAAAATCTCAGCCATCAGCCCATACATTTTCTCTGGCCTATCAAAAAAACCACCACCAACCCAGCCACTTAATATTGAATTCAATATCAAACACGAATTATTAAGAACTACAAAGGTGAAAAACCTTTTGAAGCATATGCTGTATAAACATTACTAAGGATATGCAAAATGACTTGGAAAAGTTGCCTTGAATTTTCACCCACAAGCTCACATCGCAAAGTGAACCCTTCCTGTCATTTGACTGTGGGTTGTATTTTAGAATATGTCTTTTTTACCTTTCTATTTAATGTAAGAGATATTGAAATGCTTTTGACAAGAGGTATCAAAATGCCACCCACAATATAAAATACAGTGAAAGGTGAAATGCCTGAACTGCTCTAAATCTGGAGTATCTATCTTCTGTGCACATAAACAACTGTAAATGAGATCTCCGATCTCAGCAGCAGTACAGGAGACACACCTCGCAACACAGTAAACCTTGAAAAACTTTTCTGTTTCACTCAGTACCCTTTACTATCCCTTAGTAGCAATAATCTTTTTTTTTAATAACCTTAACAGTAAAACAAATAAAATATTCACAGTATGAATACATTGCTTTTTTAAATACTTCTTGCTTTATCACTGCTTGGTGGCTGGGGAGTTCTGCCTTAGTAAATGTATTGTATTACAATCTCTCATGGGCAATTATGTGACTGTATTACATAACGGCATTTTTTTTGCCCTAGAAATAGGCTACTGCTAACGTTTCACTGTACAATTTTTATTTTTAGATTTCATTGCTGATATTTTCTAGATTACTTCAGGTTAATTTCAAACCTGCCAATAAATCTTATCACACCGTTTTAGATGTAATAGTTGCTGAACTAGAATTTCACTTCAGTCCTATAAACATTCTGTATTCTACATTATATTAGGCACTACTTCAAATGCTGGCAATGTGCCCAGTACTGGACAAAATAAGATACTAATGGTCAAGAAAAAAAGCACTAGCAGCTACAAATCAGAATATTAAACTAATGTGTCAGTGCAGCCCCGTTAAATGGCTTCCAATTTAGCTTCAGATGGCGCTGGAGCAATTTACAACAGTTAAGGAACTATTATTTATTTCCAAATCAAGTTAAAAAAAAACCCTCAAAAATAAAATTAATGACTTGACTAAGTGCTAGATCTTGCACTTCTTTTTCTTAGGAATAACCTCACTATAGCCAACAGGGCTACTTGTATGAGTAAACACTTTGTACATTTTTCAAAAACAGGCCTAGTATTCTTGTCTTGTAGTAAAAGAGTTTTATAAAAGTGTGATAGTCCTTGAATGTCAGTGTTAAGTAATCTAATAACATGATACCATGCATTAATGTAGCTAGCAATGAATTATCATTTAAGTACGTTATTTGTAGTATTATGTTTTCGAAACAGCCTGACGGGATAACCAATCTGATTATGATTATACAAATGTCTTTTAGAATGTAGAGGTCACTACTCTGGCACTTCTATTGTACGGGCTAATTTCAATTTTTTAATTCCTAGTTTGTAGTTTGTTGCACATATGTTTGTGAATCATCATATAAATGAATGTGCTGGCAACACAACAAGGTGCTGTCTAAGTCTACTTAATAGCTGCACAGTGTAATAGCTGTCACTATAAACCATCACAGAAAGTCACTAGAGTCAAGCTTCCCCCGAGTTCATTTAGATCCCTGTTTCAGGTTAAGATAAATGGCATGGCCTGCAAATTTCTTTAAGCGTGCTAAATATAAATGACAGTTCGCACAGCTGTGGACCACACCTTACACTGAAGGTAGGTGAAGTCCTTCCCACTCTGCCAAGATACTTAACAAAACCAGTGCATGAACAAACCCATTAAACTGTGATTAAAAGATGCAGAAGCTGCAATTTCAAAGCAGTGCTATCTAACGCTTCAAAGTTGATCATGCATCTGACAGTGATGATGAAAAGAAACCTGAGACACTAAAACATGCATTCAAATCCCCAATATAAGCACCACTGTAGGCTCTTCTGTCTTTACATTTCCATCTAAGGCTATAATTCTTGACACCAAGAGCTCATAGTCTAGGTATGCACAGCAGGATGAACCAAGCCTTTGGTGTAAAGCTTTGTAAAGTGTACTAAAACACTAAACTTGAAGGTCTTCAGTGCTTGAGTCTTTTGGGAACTATCACACAAACACCATAAAACCAACACACAAAAAGATGTAAATAAGCTAAGAGGGGATAGATTGAGCCTCTTTTGAATTCTGTCCCAGAAAAGCTCTGAGCCAAATTCCTACTGATACCAAAGGAGTTATGTCAACAGAGAACTTGGTCCAGTCACTGCCCTCAAAAATCATCAGAGATTTTATGTTCCTCAGGAAACTTATCTTTGCCTGAGCCCTTCTAACTGGATGGTAACATGGCACTCCACCAACAAACCACACTTGTGTTTCCACTAGGGGCTGCAGTTAAATCCAAATTCCTCTGATAAGGTCCTAAAGTCTCTTAAGCCAAACAGTCTGTAAAAGAAGTCATGTGCCTTCGCTTCTCAGAAACTAACAGTTCTGTTAACAGAAAGTTAGAGATTTTTAGAAAAATGCGTTGTACGTACGTTTGGTTTTTCTAATGAAGTTTAAAGCTTTTTATTCAGCTGTTTATTTTTTCGATGAAAGAGCAAACTAAGTATTTTTCAGATGACAGAATATTTCTTCTTATCCACTCCTAATTAAAATAGGACTTAAGGGACTCGCTAAAAACACACTCATAAACTTGTGGGGGAGATTTCTTTTTTTAATCCCCAAAAGTGAATATGCTGAGAAAGCTATGAGCCATGAAAATGGTAATATTGTATCAAGCAACAGTAGCAGAACCAAAAAAAAAGGATAATAACCTCAATCTTTTGGTAGTGCCTTTTTGTTCTATGTTTAGTTGATGTAAGGTATTAGATGCAGCCAAATGGATGTCCAAATAGTTGATGAGAGCTTGTTCTTCATGAAATCAAACCAAGGGGTTTTGGCACTGGCTTTTACAAAGAAGTATTTCCTCCATTGTGAATCAAGAAGAGGATAACCTTCTAGTATTTCTTAATTTAGCAACTGGAGATGCAGCGAGGTTTTAAAGATTTGTTTGCCAAATATGATGGGCAGGACTGTCAAAGTACACTAAAGGAGAAACAAGTTTTGACCTAACAGAAGAGATGTATACATAACCTTCTTCCTAAAAAGTTGTGAAAGATTCTTGAACAACCATACCTGCTCTAGTAAATAGCTCAGCTTGGATGCTGAAAATGAACTGGAGGCATACAAAAAAAACAGTTTTAATGAGCTCGAAAGCAATCCAACTGTATCTATTTATATAGTAGGAATGGCTCTGAATATACTCTACCTGGGCCAGCTTCTATACTACAGTTCTGTCTATTTTTAATCTCCTAATATGAAATATAGATATGAAAATTATATTTGAGCAGTGGTTCTTTTGGCAAACATTAACTAAAATTAATTAAATTTTTGATGATATTCCTTCTCCTCTCCTTATTCTTTGTTTGTCCACTTCTGTGTAATCATGCAATATAATTTGAAGATCCTTTGTGAACGTATGAGTGAATGGTGGAATACAAACTCTGTCTAGATTATTAGGAGCTGATGACTCCGTCCCTTTCAAATGGAAAGATAAACTGTTCTAGATATGCTGTGAAGTTACAGATTAGAACTCTAAATGGTGAGGTCTGAATTCTATCTGGACAAACAATTCGTAATTTCTAAAGATTAACAGAACTATTATCAATCCAACTTATTTTCTTTTCATGTCTGCATCTTAAGAATTGGATTCTGAAGAAACTTCAAAGTTAGCAAAGGCATAATTACAGCTTCAGGACAGGAAGGGATCACTCAAATCACAGTCAGCAGGCTCAGAGACATGCAGCATCCACACATCACGGGTTATTCAAAGAGTCATATGAAATAGGTATCATCAGAAGTAATTTACTTTGAATATGTTTGCATAAAGCCCTTGATCTGATGAAATGTGACCAATATTTTTAAGTGAAGTTGTAAAAACAGCTTTCCAGGCATTATTCAAACATAAGTTTTTCCATTACTTTGTATCTTCCATATACATATGTATCTCTGTTACTGCACTAGAGATTCTTGGTGTTAAAATCTCAGTTTAACATAGTAAGTATTTTGAAATATTATAGAGAATATATATTTATTTAAAAAGAGCTTCGTTCACAAAACAGAACTGCCCATTGCTACAGTCTTAGGCTACATTATTCATGTACACCACGCACTGTTCTGAGTAATTTCAGTGCCACAGCTTACTATAGTATCAATGGAGAGAAGATGGCATCCCTAGTGGTCAGTGCAGTATATCTGAGTTGGTTGAATAAATGCAATCTGTTTCCACATGTGGTTATTTATTTAACAAAAAAACCCCCAGTTTTATTGGAATACATGAGAAGAAGTACTTGTTTAATGCATTCAGTCCAAGGAAGATACTTTTTATGTTGGATAAGAAAGCACTAAAAAAGGAAATGTCTCCTTTTTTAGAAATTATTTCCATTCTGCCATCATGCTTAAAGCTAAGCATTCATTTAAGTACTTTGCTAAATAGTGGCTTAAATATGCATGTTGTAAAACTATGAGAAGTATGAAACACCAAAACTCTATTCATTAAAACTGTGTGGAGTGATAAGGCTGTTTTATATTGAAGCATCCAAATTGTTTTCTTGAAACTATAGGCATTGCAGCCAAAAAAATACTTACCGATTGCAGAGTCATAGGAGGTTGAATTGTGTTCATCTCGGATAAGAGGAAATGGTGACAGGTAAGCATGTGTACAGTTCTTAGAAGGTGACTGGTTAGCTAAAAGTGAAAGAGACCTAAAGATTAATATTTTACTGCCTTAAGAAGAAAATATTTTAAGCCTGTTCTTCAAATGGGCAAACTGAGTTTCGTAGGTCAAGATTCCAGGGTTTTTCCCGGGCAATAGATTACAGTGGATTTGGTTGTGTAGGAGATACCAGCTTTGTTCTACAGCCAAGGATATTCCTTAAAGGGCAACACAGATTTGTACTATGTGAACAGTAAAGCAGCCTTCCTGAAGGCACACTGCAATTTATATGCAATGCATACGTATGCTTTATATGCGCATGTACCTTTCTCTTGTGAGCGTTAATTACGTCCATCTCATTATCGCAGGTCCCACAAAAAAAACCCAAACTAACAAAAAAAAACAGGAAATTACTTTTTCTCTTGTGAAAGAACAATGAAAAATATCAAGCATCTTCAGAAAGTTTACAGTCTCAACAAATATGAGTTTAGTCTATGGAATCAATATCCCCAGAGAAGGGTTATTTCACCTTTTATATTAAATGCTTATAAAAACATCGGCTTCTTCCTTGCAAAAGATAAAGGCTGACTATAGTTTAACCCACATTTAAATTTCAGATTTCTGACCACAGAATTCTCCAGATAAATAATAAGGGGAAATTAGCTACAGTGAATATTACATTGGTCACCTAAGACCAAGCAATATGTTTAGCAAAATATGGGTTATTGAAGTCAAATTTGTATGATGGCACCTGCTTTTCACAAGGATTGTGGAAATCTTGCAATAAGGAGAGGGAGCTCTGTACCTCAGAGGTAGGGTCAAAGACAGGAAAAGAAGTTTTGTTTGAACTCTTCTTCATGGGAAATTTTGATTTTAAAATACTATCTGATCTTCCAGAATCCTGGCATGTAGTGAAAGAAAGCAAAGGGTCATCTGGGAATTTAGTAGTGGAATTCTTCTGGAAATGATATGTCCTACACCATTTTCACAGTGGAATTGCTCATACCCTCTTTAACCCACTTGTAGAACTAGTTGGAGAAACTCTAAGCAAAAATTCATGGACCAACCTAACCACTAAGCTCTTTGACTCTACATTACAGAAATAAACAGTCTGTTTAATAATAAGTGGCAAAAGACGGTCCTGGTAAGAATGGACTCAGGTTAACAGGGCAGCTACAACACTCACAGCGTAAACCGATAGTTAAACACGTATGATTTTGTCCTGGGGTTTCCTTTAGTACAGATTACAAAAATGCTTGTTAAGAATTTATTTTAGGGTACTTGAAGAACCTGATCACCAAAGAAGCCATATGAAATCCAATGATTCATAAGACAGAAAAAAAACCCCACAACAGTTTTGAGAACAAACTACTGTAGATAATGTAAAAAGAAAAAAGTTACTTACTATACCAGAAATTCCACATGCTGGCATTATTTTCTCTTACATTTCCACTAAACCAGCACCTCCAGAAGAAACCTTCATGATGGAAAGTGGCCTTCTCTCCCTATGGAAGAGAAAAGAGAAAAGAAGAAAAAAAAAAAAAAAAGAAGAAGCCATTATCATACAATTTTTAAATGGCTGAAAGAATCAAGTTCAAGTGAAATTAGATGTTGAAGTAAAAACTGCCACCATCATAATGAAACACAGTCTGACTGAATATAGGTTAGCTATACCTTATCTAAACAGTTATACTTCCTTTGAAAGAATGTCATATTGCAAAAGTAGTATCACAAAAGACAAATTCATTTTGGAATCAATACAACTGGTTACAAGAGGGTTTGAAGCAGGCTTGTAAGCCTCCAGAACATCAAAATTAGTATATTCAAAAGTTCACACAGAAGTAAATTCTTACAAAATAAACACATCCAAGAAATCTACATATATAATTCTCGTTATAAATAAAAATGTCCATACTAACCCCAACATCTTCAGGTGCTTTTGAACACCTTCCTGTTTCTGTAGCCAGAAGCCAATAATCAGTTCCAAATGCCACCAAAAAAATCAAAACCCCCAGAGCTGCAAAAAAACCTCCAAAAAATATCCCCACACTCAGTTTCATTATCAATGTTATCTTCAAAAACAAAAAAAAAAGGAAAAAAAGGAACTACTCTTTGAATTCCTTTAGAAGTAGTAAAATAATTTTTTTGGGATAGTGACTAAAAAGCTGTTTGGAGAATACAGCTCATTATCTGAAGACGTTTCTCTTCATTTGACTTTCTGCCTGTGTTTCTCAATGCCCTGTGAGTTGATTTGTGTCTCCTAATTTGTGTTCCATGTGGCTGACTCAAGCCTGACAGATGAAAAGGACCTTCTATTTTAGGACACTGATGGCAGAGCTTCATTCTGTTTCTCTGTCTGGGCGAGGCCAGTCAGAAATAGCTGACCTTCCACAAACTAATCAGGGATTGACTTGAAATATTATTGCAGCTGGTCCATCAACATCAGTGGAGATGGCGATGGAGTTGCAATGCCTCTATACATCCACATGAACTGCATTACAGGGCACATAGTAGCAACAAGGACTTCCAAAGTTCAGGCTTGGTGGTGAATGTTTCCTTGGCTGCTAGCAAGGAGGGAAACACACACAACACTTTGGAAGTTCCTGTAATTCATATTAGTAAATGAAGGCTGAGACTTTTTTTTATGGAACTTTTAAAACATGGTAGCCAAACTGCAGAGATGCCTTTGAAAAATCCTAAATTTTATTACAAATCCCATTAGCTTTAAAAATCTACATCTTACCCCTAAATTAATAGTTTTAATGACACTAAACTAAGCATTTAACTGCTTTATCTATTCAGACGCATCTTCTTTGCATATATCACAAATGCATGCAAATAAAAATTCCTCCCAGTACCTGATAAAGAAACTTCAATCTTTTTTAAAAAGACAACACTTTCCCATACATGTGCTTTGGCCATTTTGGAAGGGGAAGAGGTAACACATTTAAACTCCAAGGACTCACTACACAAGAGAAAGGCTTTTCTACAACATCTTTTCATGCCAAGCAGGCCTTCCCAAACATCCCTAGTGGATTACAGGGCATGCTCCTGTAGAGATTTGCTGAGTTTATACTATGCACCAGATCCCGCAGTCTTTACCCAATAACATTTCATTGGCCTTATCTATCACCAGAGTAGAAAACTTTCCACTGACATCCCCAGCTGGGAAGTGCCGGGATCAAGAGAAGGATGAAGTCAGTTTACTCCAGAAAACATTTGTCACAAAATTTTATTGCAACAGACTTAGGTCTCCAGAGAGATCCCACTTCCAGTTTCTCAGTATCTGCCTGGACAGTGCAGCAGTGTGCTGAAGGAGAGCCAGGAAAAGACTGTATCAACCACCTCTCCTCATTTCCAGACAGATGCACCAGAGATGTGTCCCGAGTGTTGTTCTAACACTACATTATCTGCCTAATGCCATATTTGCATTTGTTATGAGTCATATCTTACTCAAACCTGATACTATACTAACTTCATACATAAGCGCATCTGATATTTTGTGGCCTTTTTGCACCGCATAGCTTCAGTGTATGCTGAAGAGTGAATGAATTTTCAGTCAAACTGACTCTTTGCCGTATTTGTATCTCTGACAGCCACTGATGCAGCTCACTTTGCTATAGCAGAAAGTGATGTTTGGAAACATTGCTTTGGAAACTGATGTCTTATTGTTCTTTGAAAGAAACAAAATCTTCAGGAAAAAGAAGAACACATAGAATGTGCTATAAAAGAAAACACATCATATTTTAGAAAAGGATTACTGGCAGGTTAGAATAATGCTTTAACATTTGGTCAGCCCTGAAGTGGTCAGGCAGGTCGATTAGATGATCATTGTAGGTCCCTACCAACTGAAATAGTCTATTCTATGCCATGCCATGCCATGCCATGGTGTCCAAAATAGTAAAAAAAAAAAAAAAAAGAAAAAAAAAAGTTAAGATTCAGTTCAGGACTAACACACCCAAATTTAGAGAATTTCACAAGCTAGATGTCTTTCCATTATAATCAACAGCAATCTAGTCAATACAGTCAGGGGAGCCTAGAGAGAGGTTCAGCACAACCTAGATGACACTCAAAGAGCTCAGTCCAATCACTCAGGCAGACACCTAGCTCTAGGTAGGTTCCACAGAATCCTGGGGCTCTCAGCTGCCACTCCAGAAGGGCATATTTCTCTCCCAGTTTTAACCATATCTGCCAGACCCATGCAGGGGTCTTAGGTACCCTCTTTCACCTCAAATGGCACTAGGAGCCTATGTGATAGTGACTGAATCAAGCCTGGACAGAGGGATACAGTTGTCTTACTGTCATCTCCCACCACTGGATGCTCCAGGACATCTAAGGCATCTACATTTGACAAGGGACTTAGAGGACACCCATACTTTTCCTGAACAACAACTGCAAGCCAGGTTCACACCACCTAAAAGTGATGCTAGATGCCTCTGTTTAGATGACTGAAATCAGTCTCCATTAGCTGGTCAGGTCATTCTGGAGGCACTACTGAGTGTTTTAACCAGACCTTCACCGACACTTAACAATGGCACCACAGGATCCCTATTTCACACGGAGACATCTGAATGCAAAGGTCTTAATCTGGAACTGAATCCCACTCAGTGGGCTGGAGTTCCCAACCATTTCGCTGTTGTATGGGTGGCCTTACAAAGCATTGGCCCAAAGCTTAAGAAATTTTATTCAGTGAAATCCAGAGATGTAGATAGTCACGACATAAACAAAATCAATGATACAAAGTTCTTCATGATAGCCATTAAAATAAAAAAAAAAGAGATAAAATCGAATTAATTCTGGTGTGCTCTTTAACACAATGCCATCTGGCTCATCTTAAATAATGTTATTTTTCAGTGTTACAGGATATGTGTTTATGACCTCCAAAATACCAATTGGACAGAGCTTGTATGAGTACTGCAAAAGGGGACAAGCCTGAAGTTGGTGAATTCTGACAGTGAAAATAATAGAAACACTTTTCACTCTCATGTTTAACTCTACAATTCTCAAAGCTCTTTTCAAAGATGGTTATGCACTGCTATTCATACCTGTAATGAAGGAAACTGTGGCAAACAATCGTGAAATGTCTTTTTCAACGTTTATCAGAAGTAAAAAGAGAACTCCAGTCTCAGCCACTGAACTACAAATAATAAAGGAAATAAAATGGCTGATTTCAGTCTTATTGCACTTAGCTGGCATCAGGTCAGAAATATGTCAGTGACCCCATGAACCCATTTCTGCGTGAGAGTAACACTCTTATGAGTAGCTTCACTGAAATATGTCTGTATGAAAAGTTTCACTGAATTCACATGACAGCTGAATCACTGCCTGTGCAGTACAAGTATTTATTTTTACTATACTGTACATGCATTCTGGTCTCAGTTTAGCATGTTCATCCTGAGAGGATCTAATTTAATTATTCTCTTTTATATTTATGGCACATTCTCTGGCAGTCCTATCTTCCAAATACTCTGACATCTCCAGTATTATGCCTGGCTATGTCAGGAATGAATCAGAGGCCGTGTTAAGACTTGTTATGTCAGCTTAAAAATTCATGTTATCCACTACTTGAATACATACTCACAGAAAGTCTCAGGACAGTTTTTCTTCAATTCAATTCAATTCCGATGGTTCCTCAATAGAAGAGAGAAAGTTTCAAGGCAGTGAAATAGGACCAGGCTTATTGAGCCAAACCAGTCATTATTCTGAATCTTCAACAAGGTCATTCCCCAGTTCCTTCCAAAATTTCTACAGAAAACCTGGCATTTTAAAATCAAAGTGACTTGGCCAAATTTATCCTTGCTATAATGACAATGATGTAATTAAATCAGTTTTAACATCCAATCAGTTTTGCCAATTAAGCCCAACATTCATTGATTTTGTTGATTCATAGGGTGAAGATTGAAGGCCCCCACATAATGGATGAATTCCAATCTCATTTAACAAAGCTGGCAAAAGTTTTATGATTTTATTTCTGTTCATTTTCCAGATAAATAGGGCTAAACTAACTCCTAAATCTGCATATTTTATTTATGTATCTAAATAGCTCCAACTTCAATATAGTATCTGAGCCCCCCCTTGTATTTAAAAATAGAAAATAAGAAAAAAACAAACCAAAACAATAACAGGCTGTTTCTTTCTTCCTCTTCCATCTGAAGGAGAAAAAGCTTGATTAGTCGATGAGAGGGGGAGGTTGTTTATTTGCTTGTTTATGTTTGTGTGTGATTGAGTAAATGTCGTGTGTGTATGTTTGGAATTGGCAGGCAGCTCCTTATCTGTGCTGGCAGATATGTCCATGATCTAAAAACAGCCTTTTAGAACTGGCTGCATGTCTCACTATACACCAAGAAACAATTTCAGCAGCTGCCTCAGAGATGAGTCCTTCTGAGACCTCAATGCCCATTTACTGTTGAAAAACATTCCGAACAGCAATGGAGTATCTCTCTCACTGATTCAGATCCTCATCCTGTCCATCTTCCCCGCTGGGCAGTATTATCCATTGCACCATACGATCAATTGTCAGCAGTGTGCTGGGCAGACATACAGAGTCACACATATAGTACACCTTGTCCGTTAAATCTTTGGCTGGGATTCATCTTACCTAATACTAGACAGCTGCAGGGTAGCTGTCTCCAATTAAGCTGGTCACTTCAGATTTCCTTTACTGTCATATTGGCACTTGTACGGCACAGTTCAGCTGACCTATTTTTGGATGACTACTTCAATGTGCAATGAATCATGCCCTAAAAGTGCAATTACTTTTTTTTTCTTTTTTTTTTTTTTTGTCTTTTTTTCTCCACTGACTAAAAGGGGGCCTGGAATAACTACTTTGAGATACAACCACTTTAATCTTAACGCTACAGTAAATCAGGCCACAAATCACAGAATGATTGAGGCTGGAAAGAACCTCTGTAGGTCACCTTGTCCAACTCCCCTGCTCAAGCAGGACCACCTAGAGCTGGTTGCCCAGGACCATGTCCAGGTGACTTTTGACTATCTCTAAGGCTGGAGACTCCAGAATGTCCCTGGGCAACCCATGCCAGTGCTGGGTCACCCTCACAGTAAAAACATGTTTCCTGATGTTCAGAGGGATCCTCCTCTGTTTCAGGTTGTGCCCACTGCCTCTGGTCCTGTCACTGGGCACCACTGAATAGTGCCTGGCTCTGTCCTCTTCATACCCTCCCTTCAGGTATTTATATACATTTAAAATACCCTCCTGAGCCTTCTCTTCTCCAGGCTACTCCTCCCCCTCTACTCTGTCCTGGTGAGGCCATATCTGGAGTCCTGT